AAATCAAAACACCTGGCATTATTCTTGAGTGATAACACTTTACATCTCAAGCAAATTGTTCCCAGAAAGATAGAAGAGCTCCTCAACAGAAATAGAAAGAAGGGTGAAAAATATTTATTTATCAAGAGTGGATAGGGAATGATACAAAATTGCTCCTTCCACAAGAAAGAATTGAACTGTCTTAAGAACAAAAGAGCCCTGGAGTATCATCTCAAACATCCATTCACGTTTCTCAGCTCAAGGGGTTCCTGGATGAGATGGATTATCTAGATCAAGGGTCGGCAACGTTAACGTACCTGGGGCTGGTTGCTGGTCCCCAGGTCTTCCGGCAGGGCAGGGGGGGGATGGTGGTGCGTGTGCTCATGTGCGCACACGCTGCCCCTGCCACCGCCGCCGCACGGCCACTGCCGTGTTGCTGTGCATGTCACAGCCGTCATTTTGGCAAACAAAATGGCAGCCACGCTACACGTGGCGGCATGGCAGCGGGAGCGTGTGGCGGCGAGGAGCAGCGCTGGCGAGGGTCGGCAGGCTGGGTGCGGCCCGCGGGCCATAGGTTGCCAACCCCTGATCTAGATCCATGTCACTCTAGTTTCAGGCCTGGCTATGGGACAGAGACAGTTTTGGTGGACCATCATTTTAATGGCTATCATTAAAACTGGCCTGCCACTTCATTTCCACACAGAAAGGATTTTGAATTTGAATTGACATTCTCACATACCAATGGCATATATATATGTCTGTCCCTGGCTTGCACCTCACCAAATGCATCTGAGGAAGCAGACTTCAATCTATGAAAGCTCATGCTGCCAACTTCTTTCTTTCAGTTAGTCTCAAAGGTGTCACAAGATCTTTCTACATATTGATTCTACAGACTAACATGGCTTTATCTGTGAATTCTACCATGAATGATAGAATTGATAATTGTGGGACAGGACAGGGAAGAGCAGAGTCAAACATGAACTTTTGATTTCAGGAATGCTGATGTTATAAACCTCAGAGAAATATTGGGAAGAATGCCATGGCTAGAGAGGCTAAAGTTAAAAGACATCCAGCACAGACATGCTTTCATAAAGAAGGAACTGTTAAAATCACAGTCATAAACAATTCCATGGAAGAAGAAAAATGGGAAACATCTGAAAAAGCTAACACTGCAGCACTGTAAACTCAAGGAAGAAGTAAAAATAAGAAAGAGCATGTATAAAGAAAGGAAGGAATTACCAAGAAGAAATATAGGACTGTAGTACAAGCTTACAGCAATAGCATAAGGAAAGTTAAAGCTCCAAATGAGTTGAGACTGGCTAGAGAAGCAAGGAGCAACAAAAAGCCCAAACAGCATCACCAGATATCAAATGCCTCCAAGGGACAATTGAAGGCAGTCTTATGTTCATCCCCCTCCCTAATTCTTACTCAGAAGTAAGCATCCCTCAGATCCAGCTTAGTAAACACCTTACTCGTGGCCAGCCACACTAACATGTCTTTTATGAGGGGTAGGGGGTATTTGTTGGTGTTGCACATTTCATTTAAATTGTGATAATCAGTCACCAGCCTCAGTGACCCATCTTTCTTTTCTCTAAAGAACACCGGGGCCACAAATATAGACCCCCTGGCTAAATTCTTCTCAATGAAGTCCTTGAGAGTCCTTAACTTAAGAGGGGTCATTGAGTATAACTTGAGTTTACTGTGGCTGGGCCCCCAGTTCCAGTTCTATGGCACAATCTGTTTTGCAGTGGGGAGGGAGTTGGTCACTTTCTTTCGCTGCAGAAATCTCCCCCAAGTCTCGGTAAATGAAGGGATAGCCCAGAGACTCCTCCTTCACAGGTTTTCCCGCTCTCTCTCACAGAGGTACCAGCCAGAGCAGTGCGATCACTGCCTTCTCCGAAGATCCTGCCTCTGGGGTTTTGGTGTGTCCCTTACACACCGGGTCATGAAAAATGAATTCCCTCTGTTTCTATCTGATCCTGGGACTGAGCAGGTGTAACCAGTCTATCCCCAGGATCACTTGACAACTTGATATGGATCCCACCCCCAACCTAATCTTCTCCCAATGTTATGCCACTCCCAACCACATGATCTGGGCTTCCTCAGTGGTGGCAGTCCTTCCCATGTGAAAACCATCCATCTGATGAAAGGTGATGGAAGTGTCCAACTTGTTGGTGGCTAACATCAGTCTCTTTGCTGTCTCTGGGCTGTTGAAACATCTTGTGCAGCTTGAATCTAGGGCAGCCATCAAGTCCTTACCTCTCCCACCCCCACCTAGGGTTTACCAGTCCTATTTGCAGAGTGCATAAGGGAACTCCTTCACTCACCATCAAGATGTGGCTGTTCGGTTCTGTCACCCGACTTTTGCTGCTGTCTAAAGTGGGCTGGGGATGTTTCCCCCAACTTAGTGCTTCCTTCGGAGTCAACCTTCTCCCAGTCTCCTGCTGCTAATGTGGCACCATTGCTGGTGGCTTTAAGGGCTCTGCTGATCAACATTTATTTCCTGGGGCACCTCTTCTCCATAGGTGAGGTAGTTGCAGGTGTTGTCTTGGCCAGGGTTCCACACTGTCTGTCCTCTTTGTCTGGGCAGTCATCAATCTGGTGGCCTTTCCTTCCATATGCCAGGCACAGTCCCAGCTGCATACAATGTTCCCTCTCCAGATCTTGTGTGGGGATTCCTTTGAACTCGCCACTAGACAGGTAGGCTTTCTGGCTTGATCCCTTGCTGGCCCTGCTCTTCCTTTGACAGGTCAACCAAGCCTCCTCCTTAACCATTCCATAAAACCATAAAATTCAAAAAATGGAAAATTCTACATTTAGACTACAAGAACATATGATGAGAGGTTGAAGGAGCTGAGCATGTGTAGCTTGGTGAAAAGAAGACTGAATGGTGACATGATTATACTTTTTAAATACATCAGGGGTTGCTATAAGTAGGAGGATGCAGGCTTGTTCTCATCTGCTGCAGAGGGTACAATTAGGTCTAGTGGTTTTGAGTTACAGGACAGTATAATTTGATTGAATATTAGAAGGAATTTTTGTAAGTGTGAGCAATGGAACCAATTGCTTACAAAGGTGGTGGTGTCTCCTTCTCTAGATGTTTTCTAAAAAGAGGCTGGAAAGCTACCTGCTGTTGATGCTTCAGCTGGAGATCCTGCTCTGAGTAGAGGGTAGTACCTGAATGTCCATATGACTTCTTCTATGATTCCAGGTTTCTGGAACAAATGAGGTGATATAGTCATGAAAGAGGTGATACAGAGAGGACTCGAGTATCATAGGGCATTTAGAGCCAGATCCAAGTTCCAGAAAAGTAAAGTAATCCATGTAGGCATGGTATGGCATTCTGGAAGGACAACTCTATCTGAAAGAGATGTTGGATGTTGTTCCAGCAACAGCTAACTTCAGACAGAACCTTAAATAGTGCTGCAGCTCAGTTTGGATGATTTCCCCATTTCCATTGGAGCTCCTGGGCAGGATCCTCAGAGCAGAGAGTTCTAAACTGCTATCCTCTGCCTGGAAAGGGGATGACAGAGTGGGCTTCAATATCATCTGTAGAGGAACTTCCCTCCTATTCATACATGCTTCCTCCAGTTGCAACTTCTACTACTAAAGCACTGAGACCCCTTCAGTTTGTAGGGATGTAATTATTTACTAGGTTTCTTCTTAAGGTAGCAATAGCAATTTCAGCAGTTTTCGTCTCATTCTAAGAGTCTCCATAAACCACACAGTTTTTGAAGGCTATTCAAAATTTGGGATTTATTATGTGCAAAATTTGCACATGGTTGTTTTGTTCTGAAAACAGCATTTTCTGTGCAGGGAACATCATATTTTTTTTGTGTTCATAAAACAGTATTTCAATGCAGAAATATTGGAGTATGGTTCTGGAGACCAAGGTTTGAATCCCCACCCAGCCAACAAAACCCACTTGGTGATCATGGGCAAGTCAAAGGCAAACCTCCCTGTGACCAAATCTTGCCATGAAAACACATGAAAAGGTGTGATAGCTGCACCTTAGGATTCCTATGTTAGAAATAGCCTCAAAGCACATACCAGCACCAATAGCAAAATGGATGGCATGAGGGTGTGGAGGGACACTCTAAGGTCCCCTGGGCTGTGTACGACCTACAGATCTACTCCCTATAAAGTCTATGATGTAGACATCTATGTATTGGTTTCCAGTTGCAACCAAGACCACCTATGTCTGCTGGTTTCTAGCTCATAGCTTATAAAAGTTAAGATTTTATATTAAGTCCCAGAATTGTCCAACCAAGTACCCTTGATGCGTGAGAGATTCTGAAAGCTTTGGTCCACAAAGTAAATGGTCTGATCTTCTGTCTCTGATGTTTCATATTTGTCAATGATCTGCTAGCCTACTGTGCTTCACATGTTCAGAGAATGAATGAAGTCCCTTGGGAAAGAAGCATTACAGTTTTGATAGAGTGTCACCTATGTTTTTCCTGTGGTATTTTCTTAATGAAAGCAAAGAGCTTTCATGTGTATACCTTCCAACCTTGGACATAGGAATAAGTTTTAGTGCTTGGAAAAGATCAAAAAAAGTGCCTGAGACACTTTTCTTCATTTTACTTTACTTAGAGATGAAAGCTTGCATTCTGAATTTAAAATTGACTCCAATACTTTAATAGAACCAAGAGATTTATGGAAACAAATGAACTGCAGCAGACAGTTGTTTTAATTTATTGGAAATAAGATTGGAATAATCTCCTTAATAAAAGACTACTTAGATTAATAAACCACCAGCAAATTTTATGAGATTACAATAGAACCTCCCCAGGTTTCCTAACTGCTTTTTGTGTGCATAATAAAGCCAACTGAAGTCTAAACCTTGAGAATTATTAATAAAGTTACATTTTCACACAAAAGAATGGAAGTTTGGTACCTTATATGACAATATATCCACTGCCAAATGAGTACATTATCTGAAGGAGAACTTCACATCTTCTACAGGCAAAAACAAAACATTAATAACTAATTCCTTATCATGACTTATTTCAGTAAAGAGAGCCAGTGTGCTGTAGTGGTTTAAGCACTGGACTATAATTCTGGAAACCAGAGTTCAAATCCTGGTTTGGCTATATAAACCCACTGGGTGACCTTGAACAAGTCACACTCTCTCAGCCTCTGAGGATGGCCATGGCAAATTCCCTCTGAAGAAATTTGCCAAGAAATCCATATGATAACTTTGTATTAGGGTTGCCATAAGTTGGAAATGACTTCAAGGCACACAGCAAGAACAAACCATCTCTCACTCTCATACACATAGATGGGATGGATTCATTTATTAAAATAACATTTTTTTTATTTGTAAAGGTAAATGTGCCCAGGAGGTTTGAGGAGGTGAATAACCCAAATCTCAAGGAAATAATCCAAGATATGAACATTCCAGTGTACAGTTGCAGAGACCATGGAGAGCAGGGACAAGGAGGCTTTCCTGTACAATGGAGCTTATTGCACCCTTAAATAAGCCTGCTTACCTTTGCTCGCTTCAATCTTCTTCTGGGATACCCCCGCATGTTATCATATGTAAATCGCTGATTTTGCAGCAGTGTCACTGACCA